AAAATTCAATGGAAGTTCTGAAAACAATCAAGGAAATTTCTCAAAAAGCAGTGCAAAAAGCCAATGAGATGGAAAGCAGAAAGGAAGAAACGTCGAGTTTCAGTCCAGGAAGCACATGATCTGAATAAAAGAAAAACAATGTAAAAAATACAGGTGAGAAAATTAAATAACTCAAGAAATGTAATTAACTGGTGGAGAAGAGAAGGATGGGGAGGTCATACAGAAAAAGGTTCTAAAATGACTTCAGAATACCCAGCAACAACACTGCAAGTCTACAAAGGAGCATCACAATTCTGAGGGAAAATGACTTCCAATACAGAATTCTATGACCAAAGTGTACCTCCTATGTGCTTCTGTCAAGGAGCACTACACCAAAACATGGTCATCAACCACAAGAAAACAAGCAATGAAGAAAAAAAGGGTTTCAACCTAAGAGAGAGGAAACGTACATCCTCATTTGAGGATAAAGTGAGATCCAGGATGAAAACAGTGACTACAGACTACAGCAGGTCAGATGATTCTGGGAGAGATAACCTCCAAGGTTCGATCAATCATGACATGTATCTGAGAGACGCATACAGCTGGGGAAAAGTCTGAGGTCAAATAATTTAAACACACTGAAAATAGGCTGGGCACGGTGGTTCACACCTATAATCCCAGCACTTTGGGAGGCCAAGGCAGGTGGATCACTTGAGGCCAGGAGTTATGAGACCAGCCTGGCCAATATGGCAAAATCCCATCTCTACTAAAATACAAAAATTAGCTGGGTGTGGTGGCATATGCCTGTAATCCCAGCTACTCAGGAGGCTAAGGCAAGCGAATCCCTTGAACCCAGAAGGCCAAAATCGCAGTGAGCTTGCACCACTGCACTCCAGCCTGGGCAACGGAGCAAGATTCTGTCAAAAAAAGAAAAGAAAGTAAACCAATGAACACAAAATTTTGTGCATGAAAGGAAAAGTCTTTGTATATTTGTTACAAGGCTGACCTATGAAGAGCATTACACAAATAAAGAACTAATATTTAAGTGCTTACTATAGCTTTACAGATATAAACTTATATAAATAGTCACAATAATGTTCATTTACCATAATTATTTAGTATTATGGAAAGCTATGGGGACATCAATGAGTGTATGTGATTTTGGTGGGGGTAGGGATGAGGGCCAGTTGAAATCAAGGGATGATTGCTAAATCTTCATCTTCCATAGTTAGAAGACAGTGTCTAAAACAAACAAATAAAATCAAGAATACACTATATGTATGTTAATTAGAAATGTGGCAATAAATACCAAAAGAAATACTGTCTCCAAAGGGTGGAAATGGGAGTGGTACTATTTTTCTTAAGCACACAGAGAAATATGTACATACAGAATTATGAATTAAAAAATTTGAAAATCATACAATTAATTAACCCTGGGAACTAGGGGAATGGGTGAATATTGATTTATTCCACTTTTCAGAGAAGTGAATCTAAAATTAAAATGTCCTTAAAAATTTACTCCAACTTCAATGTTTTATACAATGTTTTTCTTAAACTTAAAACAGGCTTTCTTAACCATGGTATTATTGATATTTTGGGCTGAATAATTATTTGTTGTTGGGGGCTATCCTATACATTGTAGATTTAGCAGCATCCCTGTCCTCTACCAACTAACTAGATGCTAGTGGCACCCCTCACCCCAGGTTGTGACAATGAAAAATGTCTACAGATATTGCCAAATGCCCACTGGGGAGCCAAACTGTGTTCAGTTGAGAATCACTGCTATAGAAACATCTCCTTAGAAGAATCTTTTTAGGAAACTCTTTTGACAAATGTTAAGATTCAAGAATTACTTTTTTTCTTTTGTTAAATTCAAGAAAAATTAATTTCAATGCTTTGCTTAAAAATGTCTAAAATGTTGCCATTCCTAAGAATGTACTTTTGTCTATTCATCCACCCACGTGTATACAAATACACAATGCACCCATGCATTGTGAGAGAAGGAAGATTTTGAGGGGACATTTTTATTTAACTTCTACTCTGCATTGCTTGACCATTCATAGCAACTATAAATTATTTCTATAAAACAAGTCACTGTATTAACAAAAATTTAGGAGAGGTTGGCAAAAAATACGCACTTAGTAATCACTAGTTCTTAACGACTTAACTACCTTAAATATCTTGATAGGTATTGTATATAAGGTTCAGTCATTCAAAAAAAAAATCAATTCTGTCTACTCACTAATATCAATGTTGAGACTGGGATGGGGAAAAGCATGTAAGTAGGTATTAGTGATTGGTAATATTGTAGTTATAGGATTAGTTGGTATGATGTTTATAATGTTTGAAGTAATTACCAATCGAAAAAAGAAACAACCATGCATGAATAAAAAATTATACTGCCATGAACCAAGGATTATAATCAATCTAATTCTAGGCCTCTTAGCTGCAAACAAAAAGTGAACAATTTAACACTCCAATTTCTGCTCAGTGCTATTACACATAATTTATCTCTTTTTAGTTTAGCCATTTTCTACAATTATTTTACAAATAAGGAAAAATCTTACTAAATTTGATTAAGCCTGCAGAAACTTGTACTAACAACGAATGAGGCTGGTTTGTTTTTAATTCTGGCTTACCTGATCTAATTTAATGATTTGAATCTTACTTTTTTTTTTTTGGTCTGTTTTTTGTTTTGTTTCGTTTTGGACACAGTGTCTCACTCTGTCGCCCAGGCTGCAGAGAAGTGGCGCCATCTTGGCTCACTGCAGCCTGTGCCTCCTGGGCTTAAGCGATTCTCCTGCCTCAGCCACCCGAGTAGCTGGGATTACAGTTGTGTGCCACCACAACCGGCTAATTTTTGGTTTTTTTGTTTTGTTTTGTTTTGTTTTCTGAGACGGAGTCTTGCTCTGTTGCCCAGGCTAGAGTGCAGTGGCATGATCTCGGCTCACTGCAACCTCTGTCTCCCGGTGCAAGCAATTCTCCTGCCTCAGCCTCCCGAGTAGCTGGGACTACAGGCATGTGCCACCACGCCCAGCTAATTTTTTTGTATTTTTAGTAGAGATGGGGTTTCACTATATTGACCAGACTAGTTTCCAACTCCGGACATCAAGTGATCCATCCACCTCATCCTCCCAAAGTGCTGGGATTTCAGACGTGAGCCACCGCGGCAGGCCCTGAATGTTACTTTGGAAAAGTTGAATAAATTTTAATTTCATCAAAACCTCTAAGTAAATGAGCACATTAACTGTTAAGAATGTGGAAGAGATGGTTCCCTTCAATGACTATCGGCCTGCACTAAAATCAAACAATTAATGAATAGAGACAGAGGCACAAGAAGAAAAGGGAAAAAGATTACTGAAACTGCAAACAATAAAATAAATTCCAAACCGGGCACAGTAGCACCTGCCTGTAGTCCCAGCTACCTGGGAGGCTGAGGTACTAAGACTTGAGCCCAGGAGTTCCAAGCTGCAGTTCACTACGACTATCCCCTGCACTTCAGCCCGGCCAACACACTGAGACCCCCCATCTCTAAAAAACTGCCTCACTGCTACCTTTTTAATTTACTTCGCTATTAACACAGAAACTAAAAGGTAGTGTCAATTTTATCACGGACATTCTTCTAATCAATAAAGGTGGCGATCTATATTGTAAAACGGAAAACATGTATCTCATCTTTTAAATCTCTATTATATACAAAAAAAACTACAGCATGCCTACTTCATAAGTGGGCAAGATACGACTTTACAAATTAAACTGCGTAACATCTTCCAATAAAAACCGATGAAAACAATCTTACATGATAATCAATTACCAGCTTTCAAAACTGTTTATTACACTAAATATGCCTTTGTATGAAAGTCAATAAACTCTCTAATATCTTGAGAGAAAATATTCCAGGTTTCCGTGCAAGAAGAAATATCATGTAATCAAGAGAACAGACTGGCTGGAGTAATAATCTCCACATCATTATTTGATTAAAATTCAACATTTTTAGTTCAAGACATATGAAAACCTTTTTGAAAAGAGTATATATAACGGAATTATTTGGGAAGTCAGAAAAGCAATTGTTAGAAACAGAATTAAGAAATTCCAGACTAAAGAAAAGTGATTTGAATCCAAATACCTCGCCTAAAATTACAAATATCTTTTATTAACTGCACTGCCAATGTTTTGCCTACTATTTTGGAGGGGGCAGAGATTATTTTAAATAAACTGAAATAAATTTATGCCACATGGACCAAAGTCTTGCCACTATACTGAAAATAGTTTTACTCTAACAATCCTTTAATGAAAATGTAATGTACAGCGAATTAAGCATGAAATTTCAGATGACACACGCATGCCTTGTGCCTAATGGCAATTTGGTCTTTAGGCACAAAACATGTGCGTGTCATCTGAAATTTCAATTTTAAGCTGAAATTTGAAATTGACACTTCAAACAGTCATGACAGAGCTATGACTACTTGTTTCAAAAACAATATTACTAAATTAACATTACTGCCAGGCGGTCCCAAATGACGACAAGCACTTTTTAATCATAATCTGCGCCACAGAACAAAGAGGGCGACATGAATCCATGAACGACAGTGCGGCAGTCTGAGGTCGCCGGGAAAGAGATGACAACAGAGTGGGTACCCCACAGAAGGAAAGGAGCAAAGACCTTTGTAGAGATGGCTTAGGCAGATACAAACAAAACCATGAAAAGGGGCCTGAAAGAATGGGAGACAGCGCTCACCAAGCAGGGGTGGGGGAGGGGTACTATTCTAGTTCTCTTCCTCAATTTGGGTCATCTTCCCATCGCCACTACACCTTACGGCCAGTGATCAGTTCTTCGCAAGACCCAAAGCTCTGAAGCGAACTCTGAGTGACGAGAGGAGACGAGAAGAAAACGGGGACAGAGAGGGCACTCCCTGTTGGGTGGGGCACCACATTCCCGCCGGGCTCACCCAACCCCGGCTCGGGTCGCCTTCTCTTTAGTCTCTCCCACTAGCACCCAGAGGCCGCAAAAAGCACCTTACCCAGCTCGCCATGGAGCACAGCCCCAGGACGCTCCCCATCTCCACAACGTCACAAGAGCAGCGGATACAGACAAGATGGAGACAGCGCCTTTCTCGCCTTTCCGAGATTATTTACTATTTGCGAGACACTTCCGGCACAGAGCTCAACCCGCCCCTCAGCCTCGCGTCACTTCCTTCCAGGCCAGGGTGGGATAAGACACGGAGCGGGCAGCGCTGAGATTGCGCGTGCGCGTCACTAGATGGCCCGGCTGTCCTCCTTCCTGGAAAATTTCCCAAGGACTGCTGGCTGGGAACTTAAGGCTAGTGTGGATCTGACGGTAGTTTGCCAACTTAAGAAAACGGTGTGAGCAAAACCAACCTTTACCTACCATTAACTTGAATTTGGGCATTAGTAGACAACAGAGCTGAGGTGGTGGTTGACGTTTTGCCCTCCTTCATCTGAGGAGCCTCTCTGCTTTTTAGGGGATTGCTTCCTCTTTCTTAGTGTTTGTCCGTCCTAACTCCACTTATTTCCTATTTTTCCCACTTTTGCATCCTGTTTTGCGCTTATGTTCACAACGTATTCCTGCAGCCCGCTGCCTGGAACAAGTTTTATTGGGATATTTATCATTCATCTATGTGCTTCAGTTTCTCTGTATCATTTCTGTTTGCTATTGACTTATATTTTAATTTCTTGTGCTGTTAAGATGTTACAAAAAATTTGCACATTAAAAATATTTTTAATTAGATAAGACATACTAATTATCAAACTCATACGTTGGTTTCGAATGTCATGAGCTGTTGAGGCATGTGGAACCCTTGCGTATTAGGTGATGATGCACATCTGCAGGGAATGCATTCCTATAAAAGTTCCAGGTTTTTTTAGAGTTATTGGTTTTTGAAAATATTCTGGGAAACAGCTCAAACTTGAAATAGTCATTCCTATAACTAATAATAAGAAAGTGATGTAAAATCTACAAAAATGGCATGGGTCGAGGTGGGGTAAACACCTAAGAATCTGGAAGAATGTCAGAATCCCTACTCCTAATTATTGTAACCACTAAGGGACAATCTTGCCTTATTCTTCTTTGCCTTATCAGTGGTTTTGTAGACCACTCTTAAAGTATTATAATAGAGCATCCATAAGGTTTAAAGAATTGTGGAAATGCCTGTAATCCCAGAACTTTGGGAGGCCAAGGTGGGCGGGTCACAAGGTCAGGAGTTCAAGACCAGCCTGGCCAGCATGGTGAAACCCCATCTCTACTAAAACTACAAAAAATTAGCCGGACATGGTGGCACGCGCGTGTGATCCCATCTACTCAGGAGGCGAGGCAGGACAATTGCTTGAACCCGGGAGGCAGAGGTTGCAGTGAGCCGAGATTGGTCCACTGCCCTCCAGCCTGGGCCACAGAGTGAGACTCTGTCTCAAAAAAAAAAAAAAAAAAAAAAAAAAAAAGATTTGTGGAAATGGAAATTACAAACCTAACAATATTTTTAATTATGCTAAACTTAAAGTAATATGTTATTTATGGGAGAAAAGAATCCTATTATCTCAAGTCCTTAAACTTTTCAAAGTATCAGAGAAGGAGACAAAAAAGACTTATATGCAAGTAACTTTAAGGTTGAATATGTTGATTAGACAAATGGAGAATGGGTCTTTTAAAATTTAAATTAGCGCAGGTTCTTGTCTCTTGCTACATTCAAGAGGGTTTCTGAGATATTCGTAAGTTCTTGCACTATTCAATAGAGTTTTTTCACCTGAGATATCCAGAGTTAAATACAAAAGTCCTTGTTAATCTTTCTGGAATGTAACACTTGGCCTTGAAATACATTAAAAAAAAATTTACTTTTATTTAACCTGTAGGCTATGTGGAGTGGAATTTGCTCACTTAAGTTGTTATATATACAACATTAGACACGACAGTATATAAATTATAAACTGTTTTATTCATTAGAAAAGTCTTCGACATCAGTCTTGTTTTACTCTTTGCCAACTATGAAAGAAAATTGAAATGATGACTTCTTCAAATATCAACCCAAACACTGCTCAAAGCATAGTTTTCTCAATGTATACCAGCTATTAGTCGGAGCACCCATTTCTCCAGGCGACTTCCTGTAGCACACATATAACATACAATGCCAAAATACAAATTAGTCTAAGTAAGTACATTAGTAAAAAACATTCTATCTAGCCGAGCATGGTGGCTCACACCTGTAATCTCAGCACGTTGGGAGGCCGAGGCAGGCAGATCACCTGAGGTCAGGAGTTCCAGACCAGCCTGGCCAACGTGGCGAAAACCTGTTCCTACTAAAAATACAAAATTAGCAAGGCACGGTGGCACACCTCTGTAATCCCAACTACTTGGGAGACTGAGGCTGGAGAATCGCTTGAACCCAGGAGGCAGAGGTTGCGGTGAGCTGAGATCGTGCCACTGCATTCCGGCCTAGGCGACAAGAGCAAAACTCTGTCTCAAAACAAACAAACAAACAAACAAAGCCATGCTATCTAATAACTCAGTTCTCTGACTTGATTAAGGGCTAGTATGCCAAAAAACCCAAAAAAAATTGGAATGCTGATTTTTTTTGAGAATGTTACTAAGTAGACATGCTGGAAAAAGTTTTCAGATAAGCTTGGATAGTACTGCCTGTTATATTCTCTTGTGACTGATGTTGCATATTAGCATGTTGAATTCCTTCACTCCTAATGTTCTCTAAACTTGACCTTAAAAAATCTTTTTTTTTTCTGATGAAACATGTATTAATATGCATTGTAGTTATTCTGTGAAATATAGTTTAAGAAATACTGATGGAGGGAAGGATGGACTTCATAGCCTTCTGGTAGCCTTCCTAGAATATCTTTTCTCATGATTAAACCTTTGTTCCATATGTGGCATCAGAGAGCTGAAGGTTATGTTCTCTGTCAAGAATCAGAGCATGAATGCTCTGTGTTATCAATTAAGGACAAGACATAAACTTTAACATTCAAATAAATGGTATGGAAAATTAATAGTCTCTTAAGGAAATTCAAGAGAAAGACCAAAATACTTGTCAGAATAGACATGCAAAGAAATGGGCTGGGAGAACTATGGAGTACTATAATCAGGCTTAAGGTTTTCCTTAGAAGATAGTCCAGGTTCATTCTCACATATGGGTAAATAAAGAATCTCCCAGATAAACTATAGTTGTGATTATTGTACCCTGAGAAAAATGTAAAGCAGGATTACCAAGCTTATCCTAGTCATAGTAAAAATTTCAATAATGGATTCACAAAAATCAATATTAACCAATGTAATTTCAGAATGATTTAGGTACAAAATTTAGGTTTATATAAGTTACTCTCAAATATAGATTTGTCAATTATCAGTCATTTCGGTTTGTTGTTATTGTTTTGAGACGTAGGCTTGCTCTATTGCCCAGGCTTGAGTTCAGTGGCCTGATCTCGGCTCACTGCAACCTCCACCTCCCAAGTTCCAGCGATTATCCTGCAACCTCTGTCTGGAGTGCAGTGGCCTGATCTTAGCTCACTGCAGCCTCAGCCTCCTGACTAGCTGGGATTTCAGGCACGTGCCAAAATGCCTGGCGCATTCAATTTTTGAGAGAATACTAAAAATAATAATTTTATTTTCAGAATTCACCAGCATGGTAATAAAACCACATCTTCAACATAAAGGAAAATAAATGTCTATAACCTTTCACCACCTCTTGTAATTCCTGTTGAAATCCATAAGGTTATGCTGGGTGCAGTGACTCACATCTTAATTCCAACACTCCGGAGACTGAAGCAGGAGGATAGCTTGATCACAGGAGTTAGAGACCAACCTAGGCAACATAGTGAGACTTCATCTCTATAAAAGTTAAAATAGGCCAGGCGTCGTGGCTTACGCCTGTAATCCCAGCACTTTGGGAGCCTGAGATGGGTGGATCACCTGAGGTCAAGAGTTTGCGAACAGCCTGGCCAACACTGTGAAACCCCATCTCTACTAAAAATACAAAAATTAGCTGGACGTGGTGGCTTGCGCCTGTAGTCCCAGCTACTCAGGAGGCTGAGGCAGGAGAATCGCTCGAACCTGGGAGGCAGAGGTTGCAGTAAGCTGAGATCGCGCCACTGCTCTCCAGCCTTGGTAACAGAGTGAGACTCTGTCTTAGAAAAATAAAACAAAAAAAGTAAAAGTAAATAATCAATCCATAAGGATATGGTTTAGAATCCTGTATATCACATTAAAAATTCCCAGTGTAACCTAGAATCAGTGTGTCTCCATCAAGGTTGACTAAAATTAGACTCATCTTTGGTCCCATAATCCTTCCTGCCTTTACACAAATCTCTGTATAAACTTTAATTTTTATCCTAATAAATGATCTATATCTCTGAAATATTGTGAAAGTGTAACAGATTTTAAGGAAAAATAATCAGGTCATATTTTTCTGGAAATTAGAAATTATACTGTTAGTTCTCTTGTCCTTAGTACATCAACACTAAATGTAGTGAGGACTGAAACATCTTGGCCCTCCACAATAGTTAAAGGATGAATAAAATTTGTGCATAGTTTGTTATATAATCCAAGGAGAACAAAAATATAAAAAGTATTTTATGGCTTTCACCCTAAATTAATTATATCTTAAATGTAAACATGTTTAAGTATTTCACCAGATATTCTGAAAGGGTAAGCCAAAAATAGATTAGGACACAGTAACCCATAGGGGTCAGTATGAACTTAGATTTGGAAGAGACCAAATTCTGATTAAAGACATGCTTTTATTTGTTAAGACAGACATTGATACTTTTGGAAAATAACTCAAAAACTAAGATATAGTGTCAAATGTATAAAAACTCTCTTCAGTTATGGTCTTAATGTTAAAATAGCAAGTGAACTTTCTTTCCACACTGATTTTCTTCTTTTGCTGAAATCTAAGTCTGTAATTCCATAACTAGGAGATATGTTTATACCAGTGAAATAGATGTCTACAAAAATATGTTTATTTCAGTCAGAACATACATAAATTCAGGAAAAAAGGAAATATTCACTGTGTAAATAATAAAGTGGATAGCGAATTCAAATATGTGTCTAATATTTAATGTACTGTTTTATAATCATTGAGAAGGGAATGACTTCTTGAAAAATTGTTAATGGCATTT